GAATTTACAGGGGAACTATTAGATTTTGAAAGACAGTATATAATTTTTATACTGGACTACGTTATCATCAACATTTATATTAAACAAAAATTCATTGAGAAGTTTAATCTATAACAAGCAGAAAATTAAAGTTATTCCGTTTCCTATTCTAAGTTCTCCTTTTTTGATTACTTCAGGATTTAATCAAATTGAAAAATATTATATTGCTATTCTGTAGAAAAAATATTTTTATCCTAAATGCTAGAATTTCCTTGCAAGTATACTTAAATTTCTATCACCACAAAAATATGCCATAAAACTTTGAATGAGCTGAATCTAGTTGAGAATTTGCCAGGAAATATCGTATCCTGAAAGACAGTGTGAACCATAGGAACAGAATATAAGAATATGCGGTATATTATGGCTTTTACCCATAAATGTGTCCTTAGAGCGCCATCTCATCAATATTGGGCTTTGTTTTAGAACATGAAATGTTATTGACCGCATAACACATAATATTGGGAACGATTTTTCTTCAAGTCTCCTGTTATTATTTTACAACAAAGAAAAAAATAGGAAAGAAAATATAAGTTTCAGAGAATGAAGCTACAATAACCCACTCCTATAAGCAATTTTACAATGTAAACGTTAGGAACTATTCCTTTGTACCACGACAGTGTTTTTATTGGGTCCCCCCCCCTAAAAAAGAACACATTCTTTTATAGTGCTTCCCATTATTCTCTTCTGAGCCTTTTTCATGATACGATACGCGTTCGTTGGTCTTTAGCTCAAAGACTCCAAGTTTTCCGAAATAAGTAATCCTGTCTGGCTAATAATCTTATCAACCCTGCACACACACACACACACACATACTTATATATATATATATATATATATATTTACGAACACACTCACACATGCAGAAGTAGAGTCTCTCTCGTGACGAGAGTCAACGTATGATTTCGATCAATGTCTCCCTAGAGAATAGTTTGTGTGTATATTTCAGCGCCCATATTTGGAACACTGAGAATGATTCCTGAACAAAGTGTTCCCATAGGAATTGTAACAAACACTTACATATACGGTACCCTCTATAAATAATAAATTGTTATTATACAGTGTAGCAGGAGAGGAAGTAACATTCATGCATCTTTACAAATGACAGTCAAAAAGGTAATGGTGCTGAAGGATACCGCTTATAACTATGGTTACTACATACTACAGTATGAAACACAGAAAAAGAATAGGCATGAACCGTCTTAGGATAGAATGATAGATAGAGCATTAAAGTGAGCCTGTAAATACTAATTAGCATGTCATTCTTAACTGCTATGTCAGTTATAAGTGATGTGTTTACAATTACTTGTCACCTTAGCGTGTTGATGGCTGATTTTATTTACTTATGTATTAGTAAGAAGAAAAATCATTGTGTTTTAAAAAGTTTAAGCATTTAGGGGCTGAAATAGTAAGAGCAAAGGATCTAAACTTAATACTCGAAAAAGGCAGCACACTCTAAAACAACTTGTGTTAAAAAAACATAACTTGTATTATGGTGGAAAACAAATATGGTCATTGTAGGCTAACAAAACAACACAGTTTTGTTGACTGATGCACAATCTTTGCGTTGGAAAACAAATATGGTACTTGAATGTCTACAACACGAGCTCAAGTTAAAACAATATAGTCATTGTAGGCTAACAAAACAACACAGTTTTGTTGACTGATGCACAATCTTTGCGTTGGAAAACAAATATGGTACTTGAATGGCTACAACACAAGCTCAAGTTAAAGCAATATAATCATTTTGGGCTAACAATACACAACACGGGTGTGTTGGCTGATGCACAATCTTTGCGTTGGAAAACAAATATTGTACTTGAATGGCTACAACACAAGCTCAAGTTAAAACAATACAATCATTTTGGGCTAACAATACAAAACACAGGTGTGTTGGCTGATGCACCATCTTTGTGTTGAATTTCATACAATCTACGTACACATAATAATACTAGTAAATTAAAACATTTTATAACTCATCTTGTAGAATATGTTTTTTAACTTAGACATTTATATCTTATTTAGCTACAGAGAGTTTGACGTCACGTGATGAGTGCATAGCTTAATGAATGTATTAAAGATTTATTTTATTTTCACCAAAGGAAAAACTGACAATATAATGTATGACATAGAAGCCTAATGCATTCTTTGTTGCGCCGCACTCTGTGCTTAATTACTAGAATTTTCTTGAAAGTTTAGGATATTACTTTTAAAAAAAAACGATATAAAATGCGAATTAGGCAAAACTATAAGAGACTAGTGATTGTTTGCTGGATTTGTTACAGTTTAGTTGATTATTCAGTTAGCGAGTGTGTTCGTTTATCCGTTATTTGTTCAGCTAATTTAGCTCTATAACTTTTCAACGAAAAGTCTCGTACAGGCGAGAATATTGGTAAGTGTAATCCCTATTGAGCCGTTTTTTATTTGTGAAGTTAGACCTATCTTAGTTACATAGAACTTGTTGTTGGAAGAGTAAGATTATTTCGATCCAATCAAGTGGGCTTTGCGTTATTTTCTAACCGAATAATCCAAAAAAGATCCTGTCCTACAATAGGAACGGTTTCGACAATACATTAAAAGTCAAATATTGCATGGTTAAAACGAGGAAATCTTTAGAATATTGCTTTTATGCAACGTTTTTCCTGAACGTTTAAAATCAGAACTTGTCATAACAATTTAACTTCATGACACAACAATATATTTAAATAAACACAATTTTGAATTAAAGCCCACACGTCATTTGTATTGTTAATTTGCAAAATTAATTTTGTTTTCATTGCATTCGACCTAACTAATTAACAATCAGGAAATAGCAAAAAATATATATTATTAATATTAACCGTAAATGTGAACAGGTAAAATAAAATCAATTGCAAACGGTTCAATTGTTGCCGTTAGGAACTTAACTTATTACATCTAGATTAGTTTCCACAGAATCTGGGGTTTTTAGTAGAAAAAACATTTTTGATTCACAAAGAAATTACACACATGTGTGCCCGAAAACAAAGGTTCATTTTCTGGTAAAACATTGTTGGTTCACAAAGAAATTACACACATGTGTGCCCGAAAACAAAGGTTCATTTTCTGGTAAAACATTGTTGGTTCACAAAGAAATTACACACATGTGTGCCCGAAAACAAAGGTTCCTTTTCTAGAAAAATATTGTTGGTTCATAAAGAAATTACATATATGCATGCCCGAAAACAAAGGTTCTTTTTCTGGAAAAATATTGTTGGTTCAGAAAGAAATTACATAGATGCATGCCCAAAAATAAAGGGTCCTTTTCTGGAGTACTGTATAAATAACATAACTTTCAACGTTTGTTCGTTACGTAAAACAACAAATGGGTTCTTCCGAACTGAGTAAAATTGAAAAAGTGAACAGGTGAAGCGCTCCATAAGTTTAGTTTTTCTGTAATTATAAAACAATAGTTGCATGATTAAGCAATAGATTGTGTTACCTGATGATTTGAAGTATGTACGTTTATTAATGAATGAACTGATAAAAAATGCCCAAAAATATCATAGTAAGCTCAAGTAAGTATGAAATTACAATACACTGTGCTAAAAAAGATCTAAGCAAAATTATTATAAGACAAATACTATTTGAAAAAAGTGCATCTCATTGTGAGAATATGTCTAAGAATATTTGTTTTAATACGTCTTTTTTTTTCTTCCTCTTCAACAGCAGCTGTCAGTGTTGTCTAAGTTTTTATCTATTATGGTATCATGTTGAAATTGTTGGAAATTTATTCATTTAAGATGTTTAAACAAAATTCAAATGCAATCAAATAGCAGAAAATGATATCGATAACGTGTAGCCAGTTCTAGGTTTAAAAGTTGGTTTTGATAGTAATACAGACTATTAGCTTTATTGACTGCTGTTTTGTGTTGAAATTATTGTGACACATTGTTTCCTTTTAAAAATAACGTTCATGTGCTTATGATTTATTAATAATAATCTTAAATGTGCTTTATGGAATTTCAAAAATAAGAATCGCTTTGCAAGAGCCATATTTGCAAACTCCCACCAAGAGTTTGTTTGTTTTAGCGCAAAGCCACTTTGATTTATTTGTTATGTCCACTGCGAGGAATCATACCCCAGATTTTACCGTTGTTAGTCGGTCAACTTACCGCTGACCCACTAGGGTACACCCCCAAGAGAGCGAAATTTACATTTTTGACCAAAATAGTAGATTAGTGTCAATAAATATGAACACATAAGAAATATTTTTATAATGTCTCCCATAGTAGATTAGTGTCAATAAATATGAACACATAAGAAATATTTTTATAATGTCTCCCATAGTAGATTAGTGTCAATAAATATGAACACATAGGAAATATTTTTATAATGTCTCCCATAGTAGATTAGTGTCAATAAATATGAACACATAGGAAATATTTTTATAATGTCTCCCATAGTAGATTAGTGTCAATAAATATGAACACATAGGAAATATTTTTATAATGTCTCCCAATGGTCAGACTAACTTTACAGGATTTACAACGCTAAAATATTGAGTTCGAGTCCCTGTGGAGAACAGAGCAAAAATAGGCAATTTTATGGCTTTGTGCTCAAACAAACATATTTATAATACATTACAAAAGCATCACCATACCAGGGAACTATTTACTGCTGTTGAATATTACGATAATTAACAAAGATAAAATATTCTACATAAAGCCTTATAAAATGATCAGGTTTGTTCTGCAACTTGAATATAAATACCTAAATTATTTAAATTTTAATTATTCATAAAACTTTCAGTTTAATTGAAGGGGGAAAATGATATTTTACTTAATAACAATAATACCAACATTTTTAATGCATACGTTAAAGAGAGACCATAAAATAAAAGATTAATTCAATATGAAATTATTATTTGAAAGTGTATTTTTCTTTCAAATATATCTATATAGTATTTTGTACATTAATATCTAAATTTGGTTTATTGTTTTTAGCAAGACTGGATATCGTAAAGACCTATATGCGAATGCGAAGAGTGCCAGACCACCTTCAGAACAAGGTGATTAGGTGGTTTGATTATCTCTGGATGACTCAGAAGTCTTCAGATGAGGACCACTCTGTGGGGTTTCTTCCGGATAAGCTTAAGGCAGAAATAGCTATTCATGTGCATCTAGACACCTTGAAACGAGTGGAAATCTTTCAGAACACGGAAGCTGGGTTCTTATGTGAACTAGTATTGAGACTACGACCTGTCCTTTTTAGTCCTGGGGACTACATCTGTCGTAAAGGTAAAACTGTAGTTCTAGACCAATAATGGGCTATTCTCTAATGAGTTTTACTATTGTTGTCATTAACCTGTATATACATAATGAAGTAAGGTTTAATGTCATCAACTTTACTGAAATATATAAAGAAATACAGCCTTTTCACGTGAAAAACTTAAGCCAAGTCTTTGGTTTGATAACTGTGATATGAAAAATGAACAAAATGTCTGTCAATGTAACAAGCTAAACAACATACAAGAGTCTAATAGGCGATATGAAAATAAGAATAATGAAAACATTGTAAATCTCCAAATGAAACTAAGTTTTCAGAATGGCATTTTAAGCAAAAACATGAAGAAGAGGAAATTAAAGGATAAAGCCTTGTATTAACTCTTTTAGTACCTCTCTCGACTATTTCATTATCAACAATGTTGTACATTGCCCTGTAACGATATTTAAAAGTTATGTTGTGTCTACAAATAAAACTAAGCTTTTCAAAACATTTTAAGCAGACAACATTTTTCATATCATACCTGTCCTCCTGTTTGTCTCTTTTTTTTTCTATTTTGTATTTAGATCCGACAAAAAGAAACACGTCAAAACGTTATTTGGAAAATTTAAATTTTATTCTACAATTTTTATATCCTGTAAATTGGAAAGGTTTAAAATTATTTATCGGATTGTTCTGATGAATTATTCATTACCAGAAAATACAACAGCTTCAATACCAGTCCGTAGTCCCTTTCTCTTTTTAATTAGATCTCCACCTTTTATTAATGATAATTGGTAGATCCTAAACAGGTTAAAAAGATGAAAGTTTTGATAGAGAACTCATTGCTTCATCCTTGCAGTGGGCTTCCGCGGGACACTATATAGTTTAGAATTCCAGTAAAGCGCTACTTAAACATGAAATGTATGTATTCTTGTTCCCAGTTCTTTCAGGTTTTTCATAATTGTGTTATATCTTTGGTGGATTACGTGCAAACCTACTTAAGGGCTATCTGCCATACCCGTCCCTAATTTTGAAGTAATAGACTATCTTTGTTGAATTACGTGCAAACCTACTTAAGGGCTATCTGTCATACCCGTCCCTAATTTTGAAGTAATAGACTATCTTTGTTGAATTACGTGCAAACCTACTTAAGGGCTATCTGTCATACCCGTCCCTAATTTTGAAGTAATAGACTAGAAGGAAGGTAGCTAGTCAACACCATTTAACACCAACTCTTTGGCTTCTCTTCTAAGACCAACTAGTGTGAGTTGACCATCTTTCTTATGAAGCATTCACGGCTCCAAACTGTTGAGTAATTTCTTTTGTGTTAAGGTAGTTATCCACAGTCGGCACATTAACCATTGGATTGCTGTCGGCCCAATTTTACACGAGAAAGAGAGTGACTAAAACTGCATTTATTTGTAGTAAAAACGTAGATCTGATACTTCTGTTTTGCGTTTCTAAAATTAATAAAAAACGCATTAATGCGAATGTGAAAACTCGAAAACATACTCGATAATGTAAATTCGGAAAATCAATTTAGAAGTTGATATTTTTATCAATTAGCTGGCGATTTTAATTAAAATGTGTGATTCATAATTCATGAATTATACCTGTAGGAGAGGTCGGTAAAGAAATGTACATAGTCAGCCGGGGTCGTTTGGAAGTGGTAACGGACAACGGAAAGACAGTGTTAGCCACTCTAAAAGCTGGAAGTTACTTTGGTGAAATTAGCATCTTGAACATGGGCACAGCAGGCAACAGAAGGACAGCGTCGGTGCGCTCTGTGGGCTACTCGGATCTCTTCTGTTTAAATAAACAAGACATGTGGGACGTACTGAAGGACTACCCTGCAGCTCGCGTTCGATTGGAGGCTATCGCTGTAAAGAGACTGGAAAAATATCGAAAAGACCCGCTGAAAAAGAGTAAGTAAACTAAATAATAGTAAACTGAATGAAAACTACATAAACATTGATATATGATTAGTAAATTTGAAAAAATATATATAAATGAGTATTAGCCTACGATCATTATTTACTAAATGCATGAATTAGGTGATCGAGGTGAACGATTTAAAGCCAGTGAAGATTCGACAAGAATTAATATTCTTTCTTATTTTCTTTCATGATAGCTTATATAGCTCATTATAAACAATTAAACACATAACTCAAAATATTCTTAAACAATATATGTTTCTTATTTCTTCTGAGATTTCAATTTGCTGGAATAAGCTTTTAAACATTGTCGTTGCTTCAAACCTAACGTTAGATTCAGATCTGCAATCCACGGACTAAACTCGTAATTTATAGTGTTTTATAGTGTTTATAGTGTTTTATAGTGTTTATAGTGTTTTATAGTGTTTATAGTGGTTTATAGTGGTTTATAGTGTTTTATAGTGGTTTATAGTGGTTTATAGTGTTTTATAGTGTTTATAGTGTTTTATAGTGTTTATAGTGTTTTATAGTGTTTTATAGTGTTTATAGTGTTTTATAGTGTTTATAGTGTTTTATAGTGTTTATAGTGTTTTATAGTGTTTATTGAGTTTTATAGTGTTTATTGAGTTTCGCTACACTCCTTTAATGATACATGACTGAGAGAACTATATGCAGCTATAGACCGATAGTTTAATGCTTCTGATAAACATGTTTTCAAAACACATCAGACAAGTAAATTAATTTTTATATGTATTAAGCAACAACATTTATACAATTCTCTATAGTGCCCTCTCCCCGGAGGAACAGCGGTAAGTCTTAGGGCTTTTAAAGCTAAAAATTTGGTTTCGATACCTGTGGTTCACACATCGCAAATAGCTCATTTGTGTACCTTTGTGCTTATCAACACACACACATACACATTGTCTATAGTCAGAGCTACAGTGAATTTGTTTATATTTAGAAAGCCAAAAGGAGCCATTTTATTCTGAATATTAGTTTCTCATCAAAAGATAACTACATAGATCAAAACTAAATATTTATCCAATGATTAATACATCTTATTTAATATACTGTTTTGCGTTCTTACTTACAATAAAAAAAATGTTTTTTTTTATCAGTTGGATATCTTCGCTGTCCAAGTTGTTTTCCACAAACTATTTAACAAAATTCGATCAGCTTAAGAGATTTAGGTCAGTCCTAAATCATTATACTAAGCTGACAATGTAAAAACTGTTATTATAAAAAGAATATGTAATGCTAAAAAATTACAAAGGATCAAAATAGATATATCACTATAACCAACACTTTTAATGAAAGTAACATTAAAGAAAAGAATAGCGTATAACTTACTTAAAGAACACTTAAACACTTCTGATCTGTTTCATGTACTATAGCAGATTTCGTGTTCCTTAAAGAACATGACATCAGCATATGTAAAACTTAATATAATCCTCCCTTACAACGTCTTATAACTAACGAAAGCTCCGACAATATAACTTTATAGCAGCTTGGCGTCTAAGATAGATTAATACGATTCGACCAGCAGGATCGTACAGATAGCACAGCAAAAACTAATGTTTAAGAATATTACTAATTAATAAAAAGTTAAATTAATAACAGAATTGCACAATAAAGTGTAAAAGTCTCGATGCTCTAAATACAATATCACTAACTTAAATGTTATGCAAATAAAAATAATATTCTAATACTAAGAGGTGTGCCTAACACAAATATTTAACTAAACTCTATTATTTTATACACATGAAGTGAGGAGATAGAAGTTCTAAGTACCAACTGAAACCTGATAGCAAGGTTCCAGAAAACTCATGTTAGTAATAAACTTAGAGAAATAATTAACTAAGATGGTAAATATAACAATTAAGGTAATTAACTGAACTAATTTAACTTAACTAATTACGCAACATTATATTATACACAGAGAACTGTTATACAACTTGTATCATGTATGTAGGAAGAGCTTTAACGAAAAGTAAAATTAATTTTGGTTGCGATACTAAAGTGGTTCATTATTACCTTAATTTTTTAATGTAAACATGACGGTTTTGTAAAGGTCAAGATAGTGAAAACTTTGTTACATATTCTTTGTGTTCATAATTTGGATAACAAATTGGCCAGTAAGTTATACGAAGTCAGTGAAGATAATACTAAGCCTACTAATATATCTCTCTCTATATATAATAGCATGGCCAAAATTGGTGGAGTTGGCGACATGCTGCTGTTGCTTAGGGCTTTTGTTCTATATGATCTTTGCTTTTACACTAAATAATATATTTACTATACACTATCGTTGCGTTTTGATCTTAATATGAAAACTGATTAAAATTATCTTAAAGTCGCGGGTTATGACAACACATATATATACCCGTTCTAAATAATATACGTTTATACATAACCTTCTAGTATCCTTGAAATTATAATTGAATACCTTCTAACTATAACTACATATAGTTAACAAAATTAGCATAAAATATATACGTATTATGGTATCTCTATTTTCATGCAGATACACATGATCATATTTAACTTTCAGCTACACTGCAAAAAAAAATTAAGAATGGTAATATCTTAGCTAAAATAAAACAAAGCGACCGTTATAAAATATTGACAATCACTTTTCAAAGATTGGCCATTTACTTTGTGTTATGAGCAGTTATTTCACACATTCTTATCTCATTTGACACTTTGAACTGAATCAAAGGATTTTAAATGCTCCAAACTGTTCATGAACTATGACCAGCTAGTATTTATCTGGAGAGACGTTGGATGGATAGATGTTGACCAATCAGAGCAAGCTACTGTGAGTTAGGTACAGCTTATGAATCGCCCCCAGAATAATAGTACAGTGTTCCGAGTACTAAACAATTAAACCATCATACACAGCCCATATAGTTTACCATTAACTGTCGGTTTTGGCTCGCCATAATCGTAGGGTACCTGTTCTGAGAGTGGATCACGTGTTTCAGCCACAGGCTGACAACATGTCATTTAGCAGGCTTTTAGAGATAAACTTCACAAAACTTATTTCTATACCAAATGCCCCAAAAGTGTTAACAGCAAGAACGTACCAAGAACGTAAACAGTACCAACGACACATAGAGCAAGTACTATTGTTTCATATAAACCTCACTTTATTCTGAGGTCAGGTAACAGACATATTCCCATTTATAGATAACCTGTAACCTGTTCTAATCACCTTTTCCTACAGAATCATTACTCCAGACACTAAAAGCACCCAGAAACAGGTCTTTCAGATGTGGCCTCGAATATCTTAAAGCGTTATTAACATCCTGGTTTTAAGCATGGCATGTAATATCAGCGACAGACCGACCTCAATTGAAATGTTATGAACTATAAAGATGTAAGAACATACCAAATGTTCATTTATTGGTATATGTTGAATGTCCAATCACTTGCACTTCAGGTCACAAGGCAAATTATTAGATGACCGATATGCATAAAAATGAGCTGATGGTGTTGGTTCTCATTTTATAACGGTAGTTTTGCCTTGTTATAGCTTATGTACTATATGAGAAGAAGCTGGAATATTTAATAACTCTTCGTAATAGGCATGGCCTGGTAGTTAAGGCGCTTGACTCTGACGGTCGCGGGTTCGAATCCCCGTCACCGAAAATGATCGTCCTTTCAGCTGTAGGGGAGGTGGGTGTTATAAGGTGACGGTCTTGATAAAACAAAGAGTTGGCGGTGGGTGGCGTTGACTAACTGTTTTCCCTCCAGTCTATCACTGCTAAACTAAGGACGGCTAGCGGAGGCATCCCGCGAAATTCAAACATTTGTACTAGCTAGAAACTTTCTTTTCCCGCCTACTTTGTTTTGTCCTCCTTCCAATCAAAGGAGACAATTTTGGGTATTACAAATTTAAACGTATTTTAAAATGTGACAGGCATTCGTATGCCAGGGAAAATTTAACCAATCACCAAAAAAAAAACTGTCGCTTAAAGAAAATCTGATTATTCGTTTTGTTTCTTTCATCTTATTTGTTATACTTATTTTAATTTTCAGAAATACTTACCTGAAGAAAAAAAAATGCTGCCTTTAAAGAGAAAAGTTTTAGGGATTCAACGAAATAAATTACTTTGAATTGGATTTTTCTTGCATTTTGTCTATTCAGCAACCCTAAGATTCCATTAAGTGTGTGGTGATGCTTAGAGAGTTAATCTACTGCCTTTCGGGATTACTTAGATTGTTACTAACTGTAACGGAGATCAGAGAAAAGTTAAACTAAATATTATAGAGCATTAAATGTGTAGTCAGTTTGTCACTCGAATACCCCATTTCTCATTAAATTGAACTGTGTGCCACCGCTCTTTAACATGATCCGTTTTCATTTAACTCTGTCTATAACTACTTTATTTAATATTTCCGTTCATGCTCTTTTATTTGTTGCCTACTCCTTTAACATTGTCTTCCATTTGGCCCATTATCATTTCGTTACTACCCACTACTAAACTGTGTAATTGCTAATGTCCTTTTTTCTTCATAGTTCTTTATTGTTCTTCATGCTTTGCCATCACACGTCTCGTTTCTTAGATCTTACTTCAAACTCTACACCTGATTTCATCTATCAGCTTTATAGTGCAAGCTACTTGTGTGACAGCTGTGTATCTTCCTCTTCATTCGTAAGCTGATCCCTCTTTGCAAAGAAACTTCTCTAGGCTGTTCAAATGGATAGCAACTAACTCACTTCTTCTTTCCACTTTTTTGCCCACAATCTCTCTTTCTTTAACATCTCTCCTTACCAGAAAACTGATTATTTTTTTATCTTTTCCGCACTTGGTGCCACCTTCATTATTATTATCATATTTTTGTCTTCTTCATCCGTTTTTCTCTTTGTATGAAGATCTCCAGCCTCAGTATTTTACTTCCTTATCAGCTTCTCTGAATATCAATCTCAGGCATTTTAAAAACAAGGTCAATAATGCTACTGCGTCTGTCAACTAAACACTTTCATTGCATGTTTTTCTGCTCTTGAATCGCCATCATAAGGAGTTAGTGAAATGTAAGATTTTAAAAAATGGAACAACAATATAAGATACTGTCCTTTGAATCGCCATCATAAGGAGTTAATGAAATGTAAGATTTAAAAAATGGAACAACAATATAAAATACTGTCCTTTCTTGATATGTTTGTGAGCAAAGTCTTTCAGAAACACAATAGCCAATTAACTGGGGTACAGGGGTACTGTATATAACCCGTTGTACCAGAACTGCCGGAATTCAAATAATGTGAGATAGTCGTTCATCCAAACGAAACTTAATCGTCTAGGAACAAGCGACATTTAAAATACGTAATGCACGGAGTAAGTGGTTTTTAAGCTATAAACTAAAGCCCTTAACACTATAACTCTTGACCTTAGCCATAACATAATATTACGACTAGAAAATACTAAAATATATATATCACCGTTGTTGGTTATTTTAATTAATATTTACTTATATAATATTCTCAACTAATGAAAAATATGCATATGCCCTCGAAAAACGACTTGTAACGTTTACACCTTATAAAACTGTTTGTATAGTTTCATTTTACCGAGCGAAGTTTAATTACAGAAAATTTGTTTGTTTGTTTGTTTGTAATTAAGCACAAAGCTACACAATGGGCTATCTGTGCTCTGCCCACCACAGGTATCGAAACCTAGATTCTAACGTTGTAAGTCCGCAGACATACCGCTGTGCCACTGGGGGCAATTACAGAAAGAAAACAATTTCAGAAAAACAACATTGAACCTCAAAGCATTTAATTTTAATTTCTAAGGTATTTGTCTAAAACGTCTAAACCCTACTCAAAGGTTAGAAACTGTCATATTCCCAAATTTAGCATGCTAATCAATTAAGTTGTCCTTAATAAACTGATTATTAGATTCAACAAGAATTCAGTAACTCATATCAGTGCCAGTTGTGGCAATGTGTTATTAAAATCGAATTATTATCACTTACTGATGATGATGTAGTTTTCATATTTTATCCATATCAACAAATATATATACATATAAGCTGTTAAAATCCCTCAGATCATAGAATATGAGACAAAAATCAAACTTCAAGCTTTGAATCATATAAATATAATTCAATAGAATTTCTGGAGTGACTTTATCTCTTGTTATTTAACATATATTGTAGCATCTGATGCACTTAACCATCGACGTATTACTTTTATTTCAACAGTTGCCATGGGCCGAAGTCGGAGTACCCCAGGTCTCGTGGAGTCCAGTGGAAAGGTTCCTCTAGAAGACATGCCTCTGTATCCGCGAGAGCCGTCCACTAGCGCCTCAGCAGACACATTACTTTCAGACTACGATAGTCGACCAGACGAAGGGGCTGTAGCTAGTGGAATTAGCAGCCGCAGGACAAGTATGGACGATATCCAGCGGAAAGGGCAGCCACTGTACGAGCGGATCGGACCTGGTTTAAAGATTGCGTGCACGAATCAAGCCGAAGCATCCGGAAGTAGTCGGCCCTACCTTACAGCGTCTTCCCTTGATCGTCAACTAGCAGCTGCAGCTATTTCACATACTAACTTGCTCTCACCGCTGCCTCCATCACCGTACCCTGTGCATTCGCCCAGTCCTCACACACTTGATGTCTCTCCTCTCAGTGGCTATTCAGCCATGAGCTCCACTGGTGCTGACCATGCACTCTTCGGTGGACATTCACCACACCTATTAGTGCCATCTCCCATTCCTGGGAGCCGCATAGGAAGTGTTAGCTCATACTCTGGTCGGGATCCGCATCCAGACTTACTCATAGCGGAGATCAAGAGACTCCGAGAAAGACTAATAACACTGGAAGCGGAAAACGCTTCTATGAGCATGAAACTTAGCCACCAACAGTGGGAAGTGGAAAACAGATTAGCGGAGATTGAACTTCAAATATGTGGAACTGGAGGTGAGGCTAGTCCGATAAGCAGTGGTAGTACCGATGAAAATGAGCGTAATCGAGAGTCTATTATATGAAATATTGCACTACCGGTTCTTATCTTTCCTTGTGCACAAGAAATACACGTACTTTCTAGCATTTGAAAGCCCAATTTCAGCAGATTTTACTAAAAGTCACGACAGATGGTGCAAGTGCTTCAGATACATGAATACTATAGGATGTAGACAGTGTTTTGATGAAATAGAAAGTGAACACAAAATAATATTTAACTTAGAAGCTCTTCGTCACCAAAAGTGAGTGCTAATGATTAAAACCGCCATCTTGAGTGTAATGGCGAGAGAGTTTTGGGTCGTAGGAATCACGAAAAAAAAGTCATATCAATGTTTCACTTCAGATCGGTTCCTACACCTTTCACTGTATGCATACTCTTCATCTTCCTCTTGATATTCGTCGTGATCAGCGACCACTTCATGATTGCTTTCTTCATTGTGAGAAATGAATGAGAACAACAGTCTATAAGATTATTATTATTATTATTACAATTCCGTGTTGTTGTTGTTGTTTTCTTTTCCTGTTTTCTAAGGTTCTCATATTTGACGATTTATATATATTTAGATATTACTGCTTGACTTTTCATTCCCTGCAAGCTCCTACTAATACAGAAAATCACCATTATAAACTAACACTACATAAGATCTCTGACCTTCTTAATGGTACAATTATACTGTATATGCAAAAGAATAAAATCAAAAACATTTGATTTTTTTATTCGTTAATTTTAGTTTTACTTCGAAACAAATGCAAAAATCTCTTCATCTGTGGCTTTCTGTAATTGCTCAACTGTTTACGAGGTTTAGAAAGAACGTTTATAAAATGAATGTGTAAAAGTTGCTTTATAAAAAAAAAATATTGTAATTTTGTGATATTTTAAAGATCACTAACAGATTCTGTAGAAACAAAAATATCGACGAAAAAGACAATGTTTCCGTGTTCGTCTTTTTAAGATTACACTATATTGACATTGGAAGCTGTGACTGAAGATTTCACAAAATACTTTATTAAGAACTTGAGTAGTGTATTTTTTTAAGAATATACTTCTTTTGCTTGAGTTGGAAAATACAAATGAACAAGTAATATACAAAAATATGCGTAGAACAAGAGCATTCCGTTTATGTTTGACATAAACTTAATCAAATTACACACCAGTTAAAAGTGAGAGCTAATGAAAATACCAGCTAGCATCCAGACGTTTTTCCGAATTTCTTAAATTTTGAATTGACTGTTTTTATCGTCCAGTGCTTTTCCATTATTTCAGTCACCCGGAAGTCTACGTACTTACAACGCTAAAATCAGGAGTTTCATTCCCCGCGGCGGTCAAAGCAGATAGCTCGATGAGGCTTTGTTGTAAAAAAACAAACAAGCCTTTATTTTATGACTTTTAGACTATGAAAGCTCAACACAGTTAACTATAATCTTATTCTAAAGACAACCAAATTGCTTATTGTATCCTATAAAATAAAATCAACTCATATAAAGCTACATTTACTAATAATTAACTTTATTAAACTAAAGACGTGTCTTAAAATATAAATTTGTGAATGAGAAAACAAAATTTTAAATAATTCAGTAAATAATCGTTATGGTAGCAAACGTAAGTAATGACTAATATAATACTTTCTAAAATACTATCTATTTTATTGTGTAAAAGTAACCAGTATAACAAAAAACATACATCAAAGCAGCATGTCAAACTTTCGAAATATAAACAGGTATTATATGGATCTTTGGTAGCTAACTCTTAATTTTGTTGAAAATTGCTTTGTGCTGTTAAATGATTGAGATTAAAGAAACGTTTATAATTGTAAATCTCTACATAATACATTGGCATTAAATATATATATATATCTTCAAAAGATCATTCTATTAATAAAGTTTATATCGTGAATTTTTTCTCTTTCCATAAAAAAGATAAATAAGTATTTGTCACTCTTAATTGTAATTCCATTCTCTTTCAAACTTTAAAAACTATAAATATTAAGGCATATAGTTTATCTTTCATAACTAGCATGATATACAAGAAAAAGGTTCATCTTTAAATTCTCTTTGCTATTATATTCTTGTCTCGTTAATACAACTTATAACACTAGTATAATGTTATAGCTATATTTTCATCACAAATAAGTCACTTCGATTGAATCTCAATATTTTTATGGTCTTATAGATATGTTTTCATTATTAAACCCCGTTGGGGGCAGATGACGCTAACGTCAGAATATATTTTTGTTCTTTATAATATTTCAACGTCAAATATATTATTTAAAGCTGTAAGTCGGTTCCTGGATGTACATATTCACTGGGAAGTATAGAAAGGTTTCTAAAGTATTTTAGTAATTTGATGATCTCCAGGGAACCGGCTGAAATATAGCATACACTAACTCAAAGGTTAAGAAAAACCGAATTATATTCATCCATCTTATTAGACTTATTACACTGACCTATAAGGCTTCTAAGTCTCAACTACACTTCACAAATAAGTCTAAGTAAAATCAGAATTTGTAAAATTTTAGTTATAACAAAGGAAAAGCTCTGTTGTAAAATAATGTCAGTTTTCATCCTTAGTTCACGTTTATCCTAAATCAGACATTTCATAATCTGTGATCTAAGTGCAAAAACTTGATCATTCAGCATTTAGTACAAGTAACCTTACATCGTACATTCTATAACATTTCACTTCAGTTATGACGAACAGTAAGAGCAGCCTTACATCGATATTCAATGGTTAAAATAAGAACATGGATAAGGCTCTGAAATGTAACTGAAATCTGATGAGCAGGCTTGTCCACTACATTCGGTCAATTCCATCTTCAGTTTAGTGCAGCGTGGATGGAGTTTATGATCAGTTAAGCTGAAGTCAATGCTACTTGCACAATCTTATGCCCCCGAAAAGAGTCTTCTAATGCGGTACTTATAATGAGATACAGGATGTTGAAGTTGGTACGTATATGTCCGGCATGTTCATTCCATAATCCCACCACCGCCATATGCATCACGTAACGATATGAAAATTGTTCGAAGTTCCATCCAAATGAAAATAATCCTGTTACCTGGCAGTGAAGAGTCATAGAACGTATCTGTACATCTTTAATTAGAATATGGACTCGTATCTCGTTGGATTAATGAGAGAGATCTTGGCACAATTGTAGACGAGTTGTTTTATCCCTTACAGCGAGCGAAATGGGCGTCTATAGGATGTCCTTTTGAATGATACAGCTCCAGTTGAACCTACAAACATCTGATCCTGTCTCAGAGCAGAAACTCTACGATTGCCACAAACTAGAACCAACAGATAGCGATCGTCTGTTTGTGTTGTGGAAAATGATATGCCTTCTTTAGGTGAAGAGCATCTGTACATTAGTTTAGAAGCGGTTTCACGTTTTGCTAGCGACACATTGGTTTGGAAGCGGTTTCACGTTTTGCTAGCGACACTTAAACATACTCGCAGCCAGTTCGCAACAGCCTACTGTAATTGGTCGGTTTTCAATCGTCCAGTGGCTCTACACCTTAAAAAAACGATCTACATTTGTACTATCTAGAAAAGATTCTTGAACAAGTTAAAACAAACACTTTATCTCTGTGATTTACTTCAATGTATAATGACTGAAATAATACTATGTGAAACGACTATGTATATAGCACAGAATGAACGACCATTCATTAGTATTCCATTCCACATGATTGATCATCAAATGCCTAACATGCGCAAACAATAAACTGCGAGAGATAACTGACATTATAGTCTAATAGTCTTTTTGCCTAACGTTAGCTATAATAGTAATTCTGATTATTCTTTAACTATTTCAGAAAATTGTTTTTGTTGGTAGCTGTAATAACTTTCAGCGTTAGCAAATGCAGATGCTTTATAAATCGTATGTTGTACTCAAATTGGTTAGTGG